CCCTGCTAACACCGGGAGCAGAATTGGGGTCAAAGTTCAGGTGGTGCCTCACTCTCTCGACAACATGAGAGTCTGCACCACTGAACCCAGAGAGGGTCATTGGAATATTGTTGTTGGAAAGAGGTGACAGGGAGGGAGAAAATAAAGGTGTGTCGGCTCTGGAGTTGGAAAGGACCATCGCCGGATTACCAGGAAGGTGTCTGTTCACCGCCTGCTCTATGAGAATGTCCGATGGCATGAGATTGTGGTCATCCGGGCCCTGATCCACGTGCAACGAGCTAGATTCGACCTGATCAACCACTTCCATTGGCGAGGGACCATCCAAGCAGAAGGACTGGGACGAATCTGGGTACATTCCCTCATCTAAAGGCATTGTGTACTGGATGTAGTCCTGAGGTGTGAGTCCAATAGGCACGTGATCCTCAATGGTCAAATGCAAGTTGCCACTCTGAGTATCCATGTCCTTCAGAGACTCGCTCTGACCCTGGAACAAACCTTCTAATTGGATGTCATGGAACTCCTTTCTGATGCCATTGAGGGAGGGACTGGGATTGGGGGAGTGGACCATAGCTTTGACTTTCACCTCCATCTTGATGCAAGCCTCTTCAGAGACGACTGGCCGGAAAGGCCACGGAGAAGGGCTGTAATGATGGCTTCGGAGGGATGAGGATCTTAAGGGCCGCTGGGCTTTGACTTCATTAAAGCTTATTGGGACCGATGAGGAAGAGAAGGTGTCGTCATCATCTCCAGAGCCCACCGTGGTGGAGCCTCCTTTGACTTTCGCTTTCTGTTTGGTAGACAGTCTCCTCTTAAGAGTGCCCATAAGACTTTCGCTCTTCGATCGGTTCTTATGACCCTTCTCATCCTCCCCATTAAGATCACAACCTACCAGCCCTTTGGTGTAACAGCCTCCGAAGAGAGAGTCATCCTTGGTGAACTCAGCCGCTAATGATGGCTGCTGGAGCATGACGAAATCCCCATCTTCTTTGCCCTTTATGTTAAGTGACTTTCTGATCGTCTTCAGACTGATCTTCTTCATCCTTGTACACCCAGTCAGGTGAGGGCATGGGACGGTCCTATCTGCTGACCAAAGGATGCTAACAGAGTCTGGCCATGTGACTGGGAAATGTCAATCATGTGAACGCC